AATGCAAAAAATTACCGAACTTTATCATTAGAAAGATATCTTTGCACAGAAGTTATATAAAAGATGTTTTTTACTGCTCAAAATGCTGAACTCGATAGAGGTTTCGCCATAATTACAAAATCAAATTATATTAATTTGTTCTATCAGCAAACTCTGAAGGACAGAAGTCTCTACTATATCTTTTGAAGAGGAAGGTTATTCCGTATCTGGTCCAACACCTTCATCCTTGTCCTTATTTTCTTCTTTTAGCTTTCTCTATGCCCGAATATCTTGAAATAGTGGGTCGGGAAGGAATGTTATCGTAGGTGATTTTCTCCAAATTGAGAGCTATAGCAATGCAGTCGTCTATGTTAGGAATGCCTTTTTTGGAATCCTCCAAAGTCTCCCTCCTCGTGTGATAAATTGCATAAGTTTTCTCAAGAAGGAAAGAATCATCTTGATCCTAGAGTTTGGCTTTGAGCTTTTTCATTTAGACTGCACCCTTTTGAGCCTTTCCTCTATTTTTGCTCTCTTTTCCTAGGCCGCAACAACTTTCTCAATTTTAGAATGCAAGTTTGCTTCCAGGTTGTTGATTTATCCCACGGAAGTAGACTCACATTCCACCACTACAGTCACAACATCTTGCAGCTCAACTACTTGACCTTCAACTCCTCAACTTTTGTATGCAGCTGAGTGGCCTCTTGGCCATGAACTATTCTTTCCTGGTCGGATTTCTCCAACCAGGCTTCAAACTCGTCCATCTGAGCAAGTCCTTCCTCTAAAGTCGGGAGGCGCTCAGCGAGTTGATCTCGTTCAGCAACAATTTGATCCCGCTCGGCAGCAAGTTCTCCTTTTGCTTGGATCATCTTCTGTAAGCCCTTGGAGGTAAGGAGTTTGGCCTAAAATGTCAAAAATTAAAGTTGATGGAGATAATGGTTAGTAAGAAAATGGGAATGAGAGGAGTAAGATCATATCTGAGCAGCAAAGTGCATGTTGTTATTGATTAGACATTATACTGAAAGAGCCCCCATCTTCTGTCCGTCCTTGTTTGAAGCCAGAGGCTTTAATTAATTGGCAACTCCCACCGGCATGGAAAGCAAGTCACACTCATTTGAAACCGAAAGAGTGACATTATGTTTACCATCAGGGTTTCGGATGGGTGCCGAAAAAGTGCTCTCAATGTTCCCATGATTAGGTGACCGAGGGGAATGAACATCTTCTATTGTTCAATTGGGGTCGGTGGTGAGGTAAAAGCTGGTGGTGTAGCAGCTAGTGTTGAAGTTGCATGTGGATGAATATCAGGGGTGGAACTCCTCAGGAAGCGACATATGGGAACCGAAAATGGGACTCAGCATTTTCAACCATTTCTAACTCCAAAAAGATTCCTTGGATGCCATCTAGTTGTGTATCCGGTTGAGCTAGAGAAGTTCCTTTTCTTCTCCTTCTTTGAAGAGAAACAGCTTCATCATCGTCTTCGGTTTCATTTTCATCAAGGACCACTGTGGTCGGTCCTACTGGTTTCTTTTATTGGAGTCTTCTCCTAATTCTCATCCTTGGAGGTACATCTTTTTGGTGTTTTCTCCTTAGGCCGGGGACTTAGGGAAAAGGGGCCTTCACCGGAAGTAAGAGCAGCATCACGAGCCCTCTTCCGGTCAATGGCTTCTTGAATTTGTTGACGAGCTACCCTTGGGTCATGGGAAACCTCGATGGCAGGGTAGATAGAAGACCCCTTTGGAAGGCTAACATATATTGAAAGGAAGTCAACAAATTTATGTTGGATCACGTTGAAGATTAGAAAGAAAAAGATGAGGTTTTACTTACCAAGGTTCTTGGCCTTCCTTTTGAATTTAGGTGAAATTTCTTTCAACTTACGGGAGTTTGGTAGCAATAACGAACCTCTCCAGCACTGGTGACAATGGCATAGTGACCGTGTTTGCTAAGTTTGATTATGCCTCCACAAAAAATCTTTGGGGAGTAAAGGTTGATCAAATGAGCAAGAGTGAGGGTTTCACCGACCCGGGAACACAGAAACCAAAGACAAGCTACCGTTCGCCATATTGACGGATCTACCTAAGCCAAGCAAACTAGGTAGTAATGGTAAAACTCTAAAATGATAGAATCGATTTCTCGGCCAATTCTTAAAGTGAAAGGGTACGTGTAAATGTACATGTACCCTAGTTTGCTGAAGATGACCCTTTTCACTTCATTAGGGGCTAAAACTTTAATATTGTTCCAGCCACAATCTTCTTTCATAACAAGGATATTAGTAGGACGAATAAAAGGAGGATATTTATTGGCGGGCATGTTCCAATCATTTTTAGGGTTAGGGGGTTCCTGTTGAATCTGGAGATCTGTGTCATAATTTAGTTAAGAGGGAATGATTGTGCTAGTAGTAGAGGTCTAGCATCGGCTACCTTTGATTTTTCTTCTTCGAGGGGCCGCTACCATTGAATGATCTTGAGTAACCAATGGAAGAGATAATTGAAGACATGGTGATTGAGAATGTGAATATGAAAGTTTTATTGAGAAAGAGAGGTATGCAAAAAAGCTCTAAGGAAATTCGAAGAAGAGGAATAGGTAAAAGTGAAAGGTAAAAATGATGATGAGAAGTGGAGAAGTTTATAGACAGCAGAATACAAGGCTATCATTACCTAGGTAATTGGCGAAAGTATTTGCCGAATCGCAGAATAACACGTGTTCGGCTCATTAAATACAACGAGATGTGCGTCCTTTCAAATGTCAGAAACATACAGGAACTTTTCTGCCAAGAAAAAAAGTCTTATTTACTTCCCGATAACATAAATTTTAGTCACTGAAAAGTAGGGGGACTATCTGTATGGGGTAAAATTTATGAATGACAGGTGGATGCTCGCCGAGTTAACACGTAACAGTGAAGACAAATATGATACTGGTTGGAAAAAGCAGCATTCAATGAGCAGTCATTACAAATAATCTTTGCATTTATGCTCAACCGTTATGCAGCCATCAAGAGAGGTCATTATTCATATTTAAAAAATAGCTTGATTTGGGGATTTTGTCTCGCTTAACTGAGCTATCTGTACGCACAAAAGGCTAAATTTACTCTATTAACAATATTCTCTCTTTCTGCTATATATACTGTTCTTATTCTTGCTTTCGGAGAAACTCATTTGAGGCTTGTATTTTCTTCAAGTTTCTTTAATTAATTTATCTTTGTTCTTCGTTATTTAATATTTTCGGATCAAATTAATTTACGTGTCTATAAATTACATTATAAATTCAATTGTATCATCTTACGAGTAAATATTAGAGTACATGGTAAACACACTGACTTGAAAACATGAATCTGCCTTTGTCTTTATTTAAGCTGAAAATTGCATTAAATTAAAGCAGACATATATGCCAATTTCTAACATATTTTAATTATGCTTCGTATGTTTTGGTGTCAATACCACTTTCTATTGTGATTACGGCTGCTGGTGGTTGACGTATATGCCTCAAATCACTTGAACCACTCCTTGTTGGCAGTTCTAATAATCTTTAAATGGAGATATGCTCTCTTTAAGATTAAAAATATATACATACATACAAACATAAAGGTGAGCAAATCCATCAAATATATATAAAGTAGAGTTGTCTTAAATAGGAATGGCTGGATCCTTGGAACATAGGCTTCTATATGGATTATGGAATATCGCATACTTGTATTAATTCCATTTGAAATGACCATAACGCCCATTTTTATTTAGTCCTTTGCCATAGCGTATCCAACACAAATACTTAAAAAAAAATTAACTTGTGTCGGAGAATCGAATTCTTCTAGCTTCTCAATGGCTTCAGTTTCAATTTTGAAGGCACAATAACCTGCTTAAAAAATTCTCTTTTTTTCTTAAGCTCCTTATCGAGTCAAACTGTGTCACATAATTTAAGTAAAGATACACTAAAATTGAGCAACGGTGTCGTCCCGGCAGCTAACTTAATTAATTTTAACTAATGAAATTATGTTTGTTGGAGTATTATTTTTACGACGTTAACTGCCTAAGCATCCACATGCACAGTCTATGAACAGGAGTGTAGGGGGAATCCATTCTGTTGCTTGAAAATCATCACATGATACTAAGAAATCTTATCTTCTTTTGGTGATTCGTACATGACAACTTTTAGCACAACTAAATGTAGAGGGCTTAAAAGGCAAGAATATTAAGAGAACATGTGAGAAAAAGGTGGTCTTAGACCCACGATTCTGTGCCTTTTGAACCAACTAGTAATTTCAATTAGTGAAGAATAAAATGTAGGAATTTTTATGTCTAGTCACTCTCTTCGGCTCTTACTAAAGAAGCATAATAGTTAATGGTCCCTTCTCCATTCTCTTTTGCTTGTATTACAAGCTTCTTAGTTTCTTATTTTTTTATTTGAACTCACTTGAAAAAAATCAAACAAGAAAAGAAAAAGAATCAAGTCTGTCGTAGTATCTTTTACTGCTACTTCTATAACACTACGCCTCTGAAATACACTTCGGAGTTTCAAAGGTTGAAATTTCTTATGTTTCATTTCGGAGGCATCATATAAACAATACTTCCATATAAGCAGTTAATAAATCCTAAGCTTAAAACTAGTCCGAAAACCCAAACAATATTCCCAAATATAAACCAAATCATATGGTAGTTTTATCTAAAAATATTTCAGGCCAATACGTTTAAAAACATGACCCGGAACCGAATCCTATTGCAGCATAAAAAGGTTCCAACAATTGTTAAACTACCAAAATTGGAGCAGGGAGTCCGATTAGCCATCTTCCATATGAATATTCTTAGCTGACAGGACGAGCAAGAGTCAAGGAACTGAAATTGAAACACTACCAGTCGATGAATCTACCACAGTAGAAGATGAGCATCTAGTGGTTATCATTTTACAGCAGAATCACCTTGACAGTAGCACAACGAAAGAACAGGTGTGGAAAAAAGATTTGCTAGGTTAAAAGAGCTCTCCCCTGAGCCACATTGCTGTAATCAGCTGAAATAACAAAATACAACTCATTTGAATTACCACTGCAAAAAGACTGATCTATTAATCATGTTCCTTGGGAATATCCAACTATCAATAAACAGATACAAGCTTAACTGTTAGTTGCTCCCACTTCCAGATAGTGTTACATCCGTATCGTTTTCTTCTGAACTAAATTAGCTACAATGCTCGCTAAACCTAATTATAACTATAACACAAACAATCATAAGGGGGCGAGGAAGGTGGCAAAAGAATAAGACTACATAACGAGATATATTACACAGCTAATTCTACGTATTAGCTAAATTGACGAAGTCAAAAGAGAAGTCCAGTGTAAAGGGAAGAAAAATTGTACAATCTGGACGTCAGTTATCCCGAGGCATCTTTGACCGTGGTTTCATACTTGCTCTCCGAGCTACATCCCATGCCTTTTGGGGGATTGAGACGCCAGCCTGAGATGCAAAAAATGACTCGTAGCCGGGTGAATCAAAGGCAAAACCAGTGTGTTTTGATTTCTGTCCCGGCAGTTGCCTTATTGCATAGCTCCTTTCTTCTTCTGGTGTAAGCTCATTTCCAATCTCCAGTAACCCCATCCTACTGTCGATCTCATGCCTGTGGATTTCCTGAACAATCTGATAATCATAAGGGAAGAACCATCTTTGAATCCTGAAAAAAGCAGCTAGTAGTGTTAAGCAAGAGTAGAGTATCGATTTTCAATCAATATAAACAAATAAATCCAAATAAATAATATTAGAAGCAAGAGCAAAAAGGTGATCAGAGATCATATTTTGAGCTTTTATGAAGACTTTTTTACGGAAAAGGAGAAATGAAGACGCTTGTGGCATGATGAAAATGTGGCTACACTGACACAAGACAGGCTGCAAAGACCTTCTTAAGAAGAAGCTGAAGCTTCTGTCAAACAATTTAATGGTAATAAGGCCCCTGGGCCTGATGGTTTCAATATGTTTTTCCATCAGAAGTGTTGGCATATTCTGAAGAAAGATATTATGAAGGCTACTGAGCATTTCTACCATGAAGGTACATTGAAAAGGAGCTTCCATGCTAACTTCATTGCTCTCATTCCAAGAAAAAAAAGTGCCACTTAAATTAAAGAGCTCAGACCCATAAGTTTGCTTGGGAGTTTTTATAAAATATTTCAAAGACTTTGGCTGAAATATAGAAAAAGGTGATTAACAAGTTGATATGCAGTAATCAAAATGTATTTATAAGTGGGAGACAAATTTTCGATGCAGCACTTGTAGCTAATGAATGCATTGATTATCACTTGAAGAGAAAGAAAGCAGGAGTTCTCAAATTTTAAGAGAGAGAGAGAGAGAGAGAGAGAGAGAGAGAGCTGGAGTTATTTGCAAACTAGACGATCATGTAAGTTCAACTTTCCTATTGGTGATTATGAAACAAATGAAGTTTAGGGAGAAATGGATACAATGGATTTCCACTTGCATCTCTAAAGCTAGATTTTCTGTGTTGATTAATGGAGATTCTGAAGGTTTTTCAAATCCAGTAGAGGACTAAGCGAGGAGATCCATTATCACTCTACCTATTTGCCATGGTAATGGAAGCCTTTGGTTTGATGCTTAAAAGGGCAGAAACGAATGGGGGTATGAAAGGCTTCACCATGGAAGGAAATGGGGAGAACAGGTTGGTTGTTTCACATACATTATATGCAGATGACACATTGGTGTTGTGTGAAGCTGATAGAGATCAATTTCTACACTTAAGGGTCATTTTGTTGGCTTTTGAAGCTATCTCTGGCTTCAAAATAAATGTGGCCAAAAGTAGTGTATACGCAGTAAATCTGATGTTTTTTCCCATTCATTTGGGCCTACTTCTCATTAAAGTCTGTGCTTTATTAGCACTTAAAACCCCAACAGAGCTCAGCACTTCTCTTTTAATTTTTCACCTTTGATAACACTGGATCCAAGGAATTAGCAATGAGAAGTTTACACAGCAGGATGAATCCAAGTGAAAAACAAATTTTGTAGTAATCAATAAAAAGTTAGCGTTGGCCCAAGCCACTTGCAAATGGTTCAATTGCATGTATATTCATGCTTAATCAAATTGGCAGGAAGGTCCCACAAATGGGATCTATTGTTTTTATGCACAAACAGATTTCATTACCACTAGTTACAAAAAAAAAGGATTTCATTACCACTAGACAATAATATTTCCTTCAGACAAAACATATTTAGCTTGACTTGACAAAACTGAAACACAGTCCAGACAAATCCACAATACTGAAATGCCTACAATAATCTTTTTTGGACAAATAAAATACCTATCATAATATTAGGTACGAGGACTTGAAAATTAACTAAAGAAACTTACCCCTGATAAATGAAATCGCCAAAAAGAGCAGCAACAGGTACGAGAAGCAGAACGAGGTAGAAATAAAATGTGCTCATCAAGACATAGATAACCAAATAGATATTCTTCTGCGGTGAGATAGGAATATTGGACATATTAGTATATGTATACTCACAAGAATGTAGTAAATTATTGACACAAACTCACCTGCTCTTTTGGCAAGGAAATACCCGAATAAATAAAGACAAAGATGAACCACAATAATATGCTCCCTCCAACGGTAATGTGATGCCATCTTGTAATTGTGTTGCACATCATAAGCAGACGCAAATTGACAGTTACAACAACACAAGTGAAAGCCATCGTACTAACATCCCACAGGCCAAACATCTTGCCAGATGAATTCATGCCCTTCGTACTCGAAGCAATTACAAAATAATACAGCACCAATGATTGATATATTGCAAAGAAAGCCCAGATAACCACAACTCTCCATTTGAAGAAAGTATTTCTTATTCCTTCCTTGTATAACTCAGGATATTTTTTGGAGAGGGAAGCACTGACATCCTAAATACGAAAAAGAGATGTAGCAATAGCCAAAAAAGGAATAACATAACAATCAGAAAAAATGCCGACTTAATTGCCATCATATGTTGCTGAGAACTAACAAACTATAACACATCACATACCTTCTCAAAAAGCCCAAGAACAATAACAGGGAGAGCTGTGAACATCACATTATAAAGAGACTGGAACCAATCATCATAGAACCTTTGACCGGAGAATCCAGTCCGGAAGGTAAACCAAAACTGAGTCAGGGTAAATGTCAGATTCTTGTAGTAGAAATATGTGACGACCTGCATGTAAAAGTTCTAGATCACTTAATTACCCTAACAGAGATCATACAGTTTTGTGCACAAAGATCATATAAACTTTTAAACCTTGCATATTCTCAGATATGACCAGCGTCCATGGACAAGCAGTAAGTCAGCGAGAAAACGGAACTGAGCTACTGCAAAATCGCTAGCCATAACTGCTTGCATTCCCTCCTGTCCACTTATTCCAACACCAACATGAGCAGCTTGAATCATACTCACATCATTAGCTCCATCACCAATGCTGAGAGTTATTCTGTTTGCCCCCTTCCTAACCAAGCTTGTCACCTGAAAAGCAGTGGAAGAAGTTGCTACAAACTGTATCACCTAGACGATTTACAATCAAAAAGCTCATCCTAACTTCAAGAGAAATTACAGAATTTTAACTTGAAGAATTACACTGTTGAATTTTTAAAAAAATCACAGTGACACCTGAAGAAACCTAATTTTTTCATAATGAGACCAGAAACTCAAAAAAGAAATTTCAAAACATTAAATATAGGAGATTAACTACCTCTTCTCATCTTACTTTTTGGATAAATTATCTGAGAATAATGAGCTTTTACTATGAAGTCATATAGCAACAATATTTTGAGAAAGGTAACATATAGGGTAATTTTATATCAACTCTTGAAAAAGAAACAATTTGATGAAGTCTAAAACCAAAAGGTGCATAGATTCAAAAAACTTCTGTTTTCTGCCTAGAGTTCAATGATGGAATAACAGGTAAAAAGATGGATGACTCCACCCTATATGTCCAGTAACCAAGCATGATAATTTGAAGAAACCACAAGTCAGCTTGACAATTCCAAGTCTAATGATACTGCAACAGGAATAAATGAAGTGATCATCCATATTAAGTCACCCATATTCAACAGACAGAAATGTTCAGTTATAGAATCACAAAAAGGCCTAAGTTTAAAGTTACTGCGTTAGTAACAATTCAAGGAAGACCACCTACATGACCTCACCTGTGCTTTCTGCAAAGGAGAAACACGGCAGCAAACCACTGAACTGCAATTCAAACTTAAATTCAACAGCATTACACGAAGACTCGGGTCTAATGCATACATCAAACACTTCCCATCAATTATTAGTGCTAATTTTGGTCCAGATACAGAACGAAGATGCTCTTGCGCTTCCTCGTAACATCTTTTTAGTTCGTTCTGCACTGTTTCTTGCATAAAACGAGCAAGCGCCACCTGATCACCCTGTGAATGAACAGAAAAAATTGTTAAACAATGCGTATTTTGTAACTGACAACCAGGAAGATAGAGAAGTACTGCTCACTCTATCTTCCACTTCTCTGATTGCATCAGTTTCTGAACTAATGATAAATTGTTTCATGCTGTTATTTATCAACTTGCACGCTGCAACAAATGCAAACGAGACTATGATAAGATGGTGCAAGTTGAATCAAGGTTAACAAATAATAAACTGCATATCATCAATGCTAAGTGCTAACCATAAGCTATATTTATTGCTGTTTCCAATTTGTCACCAGTGAGCACCCAAATCTTAATTCCAGCCCTTGAAAGTGTCTCTATGCACTCAGGTACACCTTCTTGAAGCTTATCTTCTATAGCAGTGCATCCAATCAAGACAAGATCCTTTTCTATCAGTTCTGCCACCTGTAAGATGCTAATGCTTAGACTCTTTTCATCACCAATAAAACCTCGGCATCAACAATGACAAGAGAAGACTTCCAAGTTAAAGCACATAATTGCGAGAGTAAGCACAACTATGGAAATATCAACAATAATCATCCAATATACTACTTTGATCCATTTATATTCGGTGTATTCAAGAATATTGTAATCCAAGACATGGATAAACCATTTATAGTAAACCATTTAATAGTCAGGTTTTATGCAAGTGATAGCTATATCATCCAGTCTCTAGAATGATCACAGTTGGCAAATCAATTTTAGATGTGTTATTCAAGTCAGGAACCAGGGCCCAGAACAGGAATCCTAGAAGCTTTGGATAATATGGACTAGACAGTTCAACACAGAAGCAGTGTGTTTGGGATCACAAAGTGACAAAAGAAAACCACCCCTCCTTAAAAAAAATGGTTAACTGATGAGCATAATAAGGATAGAACGAGCAAATCCAATGTAAATAAGAACTTAAATGCGTATGGAAATAATTGCACTCTGCCATTCAAACTAAAATGACATCACAACAAAAGGGATGAAAAAGTCAAGACAAAAGTCAATGCAGAAAGAAAGCAAAATCAGAACAATTGAAAAGCTGCAAATCTGGAAAGAAGATATAAACTTGAAGGGCAAGGGCAATAGTTGACACTATGCTCACCTCATCCAATTTCTTCTCACGGTCTCGGAGAGAAGATTTTGCTTGAATGAATTTCTCATTCCATTTTTCATACATATCAGGGGTTAAATCTCTATAAGCCAAGCAAAGTGTCCGAAGTCCAGCAGCCCCAAATTGCTCCAAGTGTTCCCTAGTTCTTTTCCTCAAATCATTGTCTCCATCTTGCAACCTCTCATAAATTACATTATCTGCACCCTGAAATAAGTAGGCTTTATGATAATTTCTTACTAAAGGAATCTCCTCAAATGCATCGTTCCACATTAAGTGCCTACCTTACAGTAGAGAACCAATCTGCCTTCAGGATAACGACATACAACAGACTGGCGCTTTCTCGTACTAAACACAAAACGGAAGGATAATAGTCAACCTCGTTAGCATCATGCATGTAATCCAAACTAATATACAAGTTAGAATGTGCTGACACCTGTTGAATTCGAGAACATTTAGAATCTCATAGGGAACATCTTGAATCTTCCCCATCTTCTCAACATGTGACTCGCGCACATAAATCATAGTTGGTGTACGTCTGCAGAAAATTTATATTCATGATTACCAGTAACCCAGCTAAAATAGAAAATATAGCAGAAATAGTGCCAAAAAGCAGTATGATTAACTCTTTCCAGAATCTTATACCTCGCAGATATTTATTGAATAGTTCTAGCCCTAATTACACAATGGCCCCTTTTGATAGAAAATGCCTTCTTGCTAACCATTGCACAAACTAATTTTTCTTTTGTTGTTTTAAGTTGATCAATCACTCACCAAAAAGCCTACTAAGTTCAACCGTCGTTGAGAAAATAAAGCATGCAACTTAGAGGTAGCTCAAAATGACTATATATATCTTAAATATCAGCAATAATTATCAACCCAATATATTACTTCCATCCATTTATACCTCCCATGGAGCTGGCACCAGGATGGATCCTGCTGAATAAAATAAGTAAATAACAACGGGAACCGGATACTACAGTAGCTTTCTGATGAAAACTTTTCTCCTATCAGATAATGACTCTATATCGGCGCTTATTCTCTTTCACATGCCTGAATAAAATAAAAAGAGGAACCAGATTACAACAGTGTCCCTATGACGAGTGCTCTCCCATCAGATTATGACTACTTTCACTACTAAAACATGTAGATAACCGTATTCCTTATCAAAAAATAACTGTATTCCTAAATCTTCCAACCTAGTGGTGTATGTTAGTACAACATTTATTTCAAATACGAAGTTTCAATAAAGGGAACCTTATGGCAGAAGACAATGTAAATGTAACAGAAACTCCAAAGAGACACACACTTGTAAAAGAAGAAGCCAAAGTTTTTTGCTGCTACAACCAAAGCAGACTCATCTGGGGATGCTGCTTGATATCGTATTTTTTCTGGGGTCTCTTCTCCTTCAGGCAGCACGGTATGGCATATAGCAAGGCATCTGAAAAATTCCTGAACAAACAATCCTAGCCTCATTAAACTAGCCATCTATAAGTGCTAGATAAGCAAGTGTGTGACGGTTTTCCCACAAGGACAACTCAATATGAAGGTGATAGTTCACAAACAAAAAGATACCCTGCGAGTTTAAACTCCCTTCATCCCCTACATAAAATTCACCTTTCCTTTTGCAAATAAATTTCACTTTCCCAAGAAAGATAGTTCTATGATAGGCTATATGATAGAAGAAGTTATATTGGACCCACTTTAACTCTTGTATTGTAATTTTCTCTATTCTGATACTAAACAATCAAAAAAGCAACTACGACCCCACATTTTCCCACAAATTAAACCAAATAACACATATTTCAACTTCTCTTAATAACCATACAAAGTCAACATGGACACTGAACTTGGAAAGAAATGGAAGTTCACACCACAAAGCGCTAAACTATTAATTGAAGGCTTTAGGTTAGAATTGTGGGAACCACTTCATCTAACAGTAGCAAGGGGAAACTTTTAGATTTGTATACACCGCCTCACGCTATGACCTAATTGCTTTTTCTTGTACCAAGCATGTGGCAAATATTTTGTCAATGGACAGTGGTAAGAAGCAACCTAGAACCTGTGTTTGCTCTGGTATTTCGTTGAACTTTGTGATCTGCCTCTTCTAAGGCTTAAGGTCAGAGAGGGATATTTTATTCATCTGTTTTAAGTCTATACAGAGATAACTAACCTCAAAAAGAAGAACGACAGAGAAGAAAGCAAGATAATAAGAAAATAAAAGATTTTCATTACTAGTCTAGTGTTACTTAAAGATTTGGCAGAATTTGATACCACAAATTTCATAAGCATGAAGGGAAAACACTTATGATTGAATTATTTTATTAAAAAAAAATAGTTCAAAAACAGCAAAATTTTTTTTCTTTTCAAAAAAAAAAAACCTATGATATTTGATTGTTCAAACGTGACAATTATTATTATAAAAAAAAAACTCATGTTAGCCTTTTATTCCAAACATAATAATCATATATTTACCCTGCATGAATCAGGATTAGGCTCATTTCTCCAGGCACCTCGCATCAGTCGAGCATCATCAAAATTGAAACCTTTCTCTCGTGCTTCAGTTGATGATTTCTTAACCTGTAACAATTCTCTAGATCAATGGAAGACAGAGTCATGAATCTGTTTGATCTTGCCCAAGAGTATATTTACCTCAACTTTCAGCCCAATTCGCTGAGCAGTTCCCATCTCAATTTCACTAACACCAGTGCCATATATCTCTCCACCGATTGAACACTTAAAAAACTCCATCAAATTCCTCGTAAGAGTTCCAGTTTTGTCAGAAAATATGTATTCCACCTGTCCATAGATAAGTAGCTAGTGGCTCAAGAACTCATTTGTTAAGAACATACCGCATACACTAGAGCAGAGGGTAAAAATTGAAGCAAACATTGTCGTTCCCTTGTTGTGCAAAACCACTGTTTATGTTAGTGCACATAGAGATTGTCTAAACAAATTAACTTCAACCCCTTCGTAATAGCATAAACAATTACCTGACCAAGTTCCTCGTTCAAATTAGATGTCCTAGCCTGTGCAGGGGTGTTGCTCTCAGCATGGTACATGTGCAAGTCGTTGTTGATAAACTTATTGGACTGTATAAATTTAATCATCTGAAAGTGACAAAAGAAAGTAAGATGAAAGCAGACGGAACATTAAAATAAAAATCTGCAAAGCACCAAAATAAAAGAACAAAGAAATTGCCATTAATCTACCTCAACGGAGACATAGAGAGAGATCGGAATAATCGGTGAATAGAGAGTGATTAAGGTGAACATGGTCAAAACTGCAACCTGAGCAGACAGCAAAAGAGTAATTGGAGACACAAATAGGCAGAAGTGCTGCACAGACAAGTAAGAAGATGAACATGTAAGAATCTAAACGATTACCACAAATCTATTGTCAGGGTTGGATTGTGGGTCTGAATTTTTGCTACTTCCAAACTGCAAATAATAGTACTTCTCATTTATGAAGATACCACTGCAAAATTCCAAGCAAATCCAAAATTTTCAGCATGGAGGAAAACGTAACAGAAGTTCTAAAACAGCAGGATGGTTATAGCAATTGATCGAACCTGCCTATGGCTCCCAAGAAACACATGCACAGGAGAGCACTAAAAAGCGCGATAATAAGTTTGTCAAGTTTCTTCTCCAAAGTGCTTCTTTTGGAAGGAATTTTCATAGAATTCATCATAACCTGTGGTTAAACCATGGTTGGCAGAAGCAACTGAGAATAAGAACCAAAGTGAAAAGCCAAGTAGCAACGGCCACAAAGCAAAGCTATGTAGAAACAGCAATATAAAATATCATATTAAACAAGGTTGCTACTGTAAAGGAGATGTTATATAGCTGGGCCGGTTTCCGTAGAAGAAGAAAGCAAAAGGCGTGG